CACATTTTGACCAAATATCAATCCAATTTGCAATTTCTTTATAAAATGTGGGCTTGTTATCACCCTTCACGGCAGCATTGCCAAGTTGATTGGATGTATTAAATTTCTGCTTTGAATTAAGTGTGATGAACAACTTATGAAACAATGATAAAAATTGTGCTGCATCATTTCTTTCAGGAAAATAACTTAGTATTGCAGCTGTAGTTGTTTCATCAAATATTGCCAATGCAAGGTTGACATCTTGTTTGTTATTTCCAGGATGAGTGACCTGATAATTGATTTTTCTCGCTTTTTTTAAGTTGCCGTTTAATAACTGATCTTTTTCATAGATATTATGAAATAAACTCCATGCTATGTAACCAGCAGGAACTTCAACTTTGTCTTTAAACAAATCAAATGAAAAAGAAGGAAAAACATATTTTTTTGCATTTAACAAGTTATTTCTAACATTTTTTATTAAATGGATTATATCGAACAACAAGTATGTTTTTAATACTCCATTGTAAACTGGATGACATATAAATAACTTTCCATCTCCATTGTATGCTTTATGAAACTCTGAAAATGCACTAACATTGGTAGAATGATTATCTGCAACAACAGCTCTTACTTTAAATCCAGATTGGTGCAATGAGATAATGCATTCATCAATTTCTTTTTTTAACCATGAACCTGTTATATACACTTCAGGTGATGACCTCACAACATAAGGAATAGATTTTTGAAGCCCAACAATCATAAAAACAACAATACCTTTATAAAGATTACTTTCTGAATCTTCACCAACATATTTCCCACTTTGATATTGGGCTGCTTTTTGCAAATACATTTCATCCACAAGAAGCACACAGTCACTTGATACACAATTTTTTTGTAACCAAACTTTTATAGCCTTAAATGCATTTATATCACCACTTTGAATTTTTCTTAATAAACTAAAAGATGGTAAGGGTAATTGTTCTAACAACAACTTATATGACTGTGCTGAAGTGTGACGTAAAATTAATGCATATCGTATAACGGAAGCAGAATATGGAGGTCTGCCTTGTGGAGAATAGTATCTTATTTCATTTAGCTCTGTCAAAATTGAATTAAAAGCATTAGCTTTATTTCGAATATGGGCAGGAAAATTTTCTATCATACTACAGTTTGTTAATTTGCAATTATGACCACTGCGAAACCATTCAGGTAAAGAAATATGATATCCTTTATACGACAATGAAACATTAAGATCTTTATTAACTGTTATTGACTCAAACACAGTTGGTATACCTGATATTTCATCAAAACAGAGTTTATAGAAAACAACACTATCATGAAGTTTCTTAAATGTAAATCCTGGTGGGCAATGCTGTTCTTTTAACGAATTAAGACTAATTATTTTATCAATATTTTGAAAATCACTGAACTCATCTTTTCCCAAGTATCTTAAAGTTGGTTCTTTTCTAGGCAACTTTGGCACCCTTAAAGTTGATGAACTACTTTTTTTATCTGTGTGAATAGTTGGAACAGGTTGGAGATCCCATTTCATGGTGCATCTTTTCCCATATTTAATAAATTTATCTTCGAAATGATCAATACAAATAGCAGAGTATTTAGATGGAAGCCAATCTTTTCTATTGACAAAATATATCCATCGTTCTCGCAAACTGCTTTCTTCAGGAAAATGAAATGTAGACTTTTTTGGACCAGTAGAGTAACCAGTTTTACAGTTTGTGACAACACATTTGTTAACCATTTTTATAACTAAAAAAAATTTCAAAAACTACAATAATATTGAGATTTCTTACATTTATAATTGAAGTTATCTCCACTTGAATAACATTGCATAAAAAAAAGCAGTTCGACTGTATACAATATACCAAGTAGACTGTCTGTAAGTCTATTTTATTATTCCACTCTCTAATGGATTATAATGAAACAGACAATCAGTCAGAATATAATCAGAAATATATACTACATGAATATGAAAATATAAACCAAACTTTGATATAATAATTGTAATAATCACATTATTTTAATTATTAAATATTGTTAGTTGTCTTATAATAGAAAATAAGCCGTAAAAAAACTGGCCTCTTAATTTTTTACGGAAAATGCAACAAATCAGGCCGTGTAATTATAGTAGGCCATGCCTCGATATATTTATTATGGCAGTTACAATCGAGAAAATGATGAAAAAAATGTCTAAGAAGTTTAAAAAAGAAACTGAAAGCTTGATCAAACAACAAGAACAGAATGTGTTAAACATTATAAGTAGCAGCACAAAAATGTTATACGAGCGATTAGATATTGTCGAATCAAATAATAAAGAAAATTGTAAACAGATCAAAACAATAAAAAAAGAGGTTGATGATATTAAAGTGAGCCTTAATTTTCACGAACATCTAATAGATGAAAAAATTAAGTCTGACATTAATTCACAAGAGAAGTGTAAAACAACAAGCGCAATACAAAGTAACGACTCTGCATTTATTAAAATTAGAAGCAAACTAAGAGAAATGGAAGATTGTTCACAGCGGAACAATCTGAGAATTGACGGAGTCAAAGAAAACAAAGGGGAAAGCTGGGAACACAGCGATTTAAAGGTAATTAAAATTTTTGAAAATGATTTAGACCTTAAAGGCATTAAAATAGAAAAACAAACAAACGAAAAAAATATTCGAAATTATATATAAAAGCTTTCAATTATTACGATTAAGAATTCAGAATTAAGAAATATAATATAAATAATTAAAAATTTTAAGAAAAACTTTTTTATATTTAAATGAGAAAATATAAAAAAAAAAAAAAAAATAATCTGTTAAAGAACCAATTTTTTAAATCTTAAACGAAAAAATAATATACAATATTAAAGACCAATAATTAAATATAACTCAATAAAAAGTCTTGTAGGTTTTGATTATTTAAAATTATTTCTTTTAGTTTTGATTTAAAATTATTTTTGTTTGCAAGCGTTTTGATGTCTTTTCTGATTACTATACTCTATAATTGGGGAACCAAGAATTTATGAGCAAGCTGTTTTTTTTGTCATTGATATTATGAAACCATATTACTCGGTAAAAAAAAACGGTTCTCCCACATTGGTTCTTATGTGTGTTCCTGTTTTGGATTCATGGGAACCCATAGGGCCAAGTTTTTTTTTATTGGGTACTGGGTAAAACGACATTTGTACTATTTCATTGAGCACAAGAGAAGCATTTCTAAGTATTTTGTTAATATTATCTAGAGATCTTCCTAGTTCAGGCTTAGCAGGGTTGATTAATCGGTACTGAGGGTTATTGGCTAAATTCTATTTGTGGTCTTTAACGCCAATGAATGCTCATAGCAAGACGTTCTAACCAGTCAATGATATTCAAGTTTTTATTATTCAAATTACTCAAATAGATCGTTTAAATATAACACCAAACTTTAAATGGAACTTACCTTGAGCTAACATTAATGTAATTAGAGCGAGCTTTAGTAGACTTAGTAACACTTTTAATAAACCTTGACTTTTTATGGAAGTTAAATGATACAATAAAAACTACATTTTTTAAATGATAATTTTTGCGAAAAATATAAATGAGTTGTAAAAGTGCAAATAACATGTTCTAGCTTTAGTTTTAATTTAAAGAATACATTACTGCCCTTCCCAACAATCTTAAAAAAGTTGCAAAATCACGACCACAAAAGATTGTTTAGTTTAACCCTCCGTTTTCAATTTCAATTACCTTTAAAACAAACAGAACCAAACTTTTCCTAAATATAATCGATATAAGCCTCCCAAAAAATCATAAGTTCCATAAACTGGTTTACCGAAATAACCTAAATTTAGCAATAATTGTCTTCCAAATATTCGGAATATTATCACTTTACACAACAATAAAATATTATCAAATTCTTCTAACCTTAATCCTCTATCATGTTATTCCCGGCTGATTGAATATGTCTACTTAATGGAAAGTGGTTAAGTAGAAATATCATTTGAAGAGTTTATTTTCTAAACGCGGTAAGCGCCAATTTCAAAAAAACTGCGTTAAGCGACTAATTTTGAAGAGAAAATTAAATCCTTTCAAGTCATATTTGTAACTAATTAATTAGGCATAATTTTTTTTTTTAAATTTAGGCTCTAAAAATAATTTATTTTCAAAACGTGGTATAATTTTTTTCGTTTATTTTCAATGTGCTGTTTATTTTTTTGACCAATCCGTGCTTATATAAAGTTACTCGACGCAAGCGCAGTAAGCTTATTAAATAATAATTATAAAGATGGCTGATTTGGATGGCTTAGATGAAAGTGTTGTGTTAACGTTAAAATCACGAAAAAGAAAAAAACAATATTCTGCAAGAGAGAAAAAAAAGTTATTTAGACACTCAAGTCGAGGAAAAATTCCTACTTTATCATGTAATCATGTTTCAGGTTACTGCAAAGTGAGTTTTTTTGGTTTTATCGATCTTCGTATGTTGAAATTCATAATTCAGTTATAAGTTTAAAGTTTTAATATACACAATGTAAGAATAATTGGCATAGTTTGTGTTTATAGCATCATACAGAATTTTATAGTATTGCAAGTAAAGTATCACAAGATGCTACCATATTGTCAATGCTTAATATAATCAATGTTAAAAGAGTCAGAGTGAAATACAATAATCGAAAAAAGTTAAGAACTATGAGTATTGAGTACTTTTTATGATGCGAGGGAATTAAAGTACGAGTTTGCCAAGCTTCATTTTGTTCAGTATTGTGTAAGTATAAAATTACTTTACTTTTAATTCAGAAATAGAATGTATATTTTGTTAAAAAAAAATTAGTGAGAAAAAATTAATATTATATTAATTTATTCCTGATAGAGTTTTAAGAATTGCAAGACACTGGAATGAACATGGAACAACCAGACCTGAAAATAGAGGAGGAGACAGGAAGAAAGTAGCCTTTTCTCAAAAGAAAGAGGCTATTCTTGCGGCGAACGTGACGTCATTTTAACTAACTAAACGGCTACCATTATGGTATGGGGCAAACAAAGCGCTTGAAAATGGAGAAATGTGTTTTTGATTGTTCCCTTAATGTTAATAGTCATCCGAACTTGATTTTTTATATTTTGTTTCCTGATCCAAAGAGAAGAAAATCGTGGCTTTATGCTTTATATAGAACTGATTCATCTTGCTAAAACAAACTTAGGTCGCAAAACATGTCTAAGTATGCTCAAAACATTTTGTATCTGGTAAGTTTTGTATTTGAATCGTCAAAATATTTGAGCACTAATTTTTCTTGAACTTATTAAGTTTTTTATTCATTGTAAGTATGTTTCTCTTTTAGGAAAAAAAAGAACATAGTCCAGATGCTTTTCAAAATTTTGAAAAACATGTTGACTATGTTCCATCAGTAAATATGTTAGGTGCTAAAAATATATATATAGTGAAATCATCCCTCCAACATAACCAATTGTTATGTGAAATGAAAGGAGAATAAATAGATTAAACAATTCAATTAGTATATACTATATAGTATTATATGTACTGTATAAACAACAAGATAAACTATATAATATAGTTTATCTTGTTGTTTAAAATGTTTTTGTAAAAACTGTTTATGTAATAGTTACAATTTATTTTTGTTATGCATTGACGCATAACAAAAATAAATTGTATATATAAATATTAATGCATTAAAACTAAGCATTTATAAATCATGTGTTTATTGTTTTTATTTTTTAAATAAATTAAAGTTCAATAGCTTGTTAAGCACAAATTTTGTATTTACTATATACCTCAAACATGCTTATACTTTTTTAGAATATTATGTACAAAAAAGTCATTGCAATAAATCTCAAGTTATTAAAGTCAGTTAACAAATAAGTACTGACAATTCATTGACTGGAGTGGAAGATGTTAGTGTCTTGAACCAACATGAAACAACAAGTTAACTTGGCTGAGAATGATGGTAGTTTAAAAATAATGCAGCATTGGCTAGGTAAGTGATTATGTGTATGTTGGCTCACTCATAAGTCAATATATATGTGTTTATGTTCTGTGTTGACCTCTGGTGTCGTGTTGGCTCACCCTTTAGACATTATATGTGTGTTTGTGTTCTGTTTCAACCTCTAGTGCGGTGTTGATTCACTTGTAAGTCATTATGTGTATAATTTTATTTTGTTTTATTGTGTTATTATAGTGATGTTATAGTTGTGAGGCTTTGTGTTGATAGACAACTTTGCTTACTTTCTCGTTGGTGTCTCTTGCTACAAATGATTATTAGATTATTAGAAATGATTATTTTTACTTGAACTCGTTACTTCTAATCATTTACTAATAGGCAAGAAACATGTTTTAAAGTAAAACATACTTTTAATGTTGTCATTTTTAATCTTTAGGATTGTTCCTAGGTCACAAAAACAATCTTACAAAGTAAGTTTCTTCTTTATTATTTATTTAGTTATATTTTTAATTAAATTTTTATTTTTCATGTTAACATGATACATAAAACATTAATTTGTAAATGCTTTCAGCATAAATTGGTTCTATTTTCTTTAGTAGAGTTTCTGCTGTTGTCACTGGTTTTAGAGAGTACCTTTGTGAATGAAGATAAAAAGTCATTTATGTTATTTTTTCAAAGCCAAGACATAATATTGTTAACCCTCATACCATTTACCAAAAAGCTTTATAAATATTGTTACGATGTTATAATTCAAATTGTTGTAATTAGTAATTTTGATCATTTCATTATTATACTGTAAAAAATATTTTTTATTTATAACATTTATTTCACATATATTAAAAACATGAGAAATAAATATTACACTGAGGAAAATTTTAAGCAAAATATAGAATTTTTAAATGTTATTAGAATATCAATATGTAATATTTTTGTTTTATTTATTGACTACATCTGTAAACTGTGCAATAATTTCAAAATGATGAATTAATTAAATTCCATGTTTCCTATAAGCATTTGCACAGATTTATTTCAATATAACGCTAAATATTGTTCTGGTAACGTTCAGCAGCTTTTTTAGATAACTTTTCTTGATAATCATAAGACATTTTCAAGGCGTTTAAGTAATGATGTACTGAAATCAGCGCGTTTGTTTGCCCCCATATCATAATGGTAGATATTTTTGTTTTTAATTACGCAATGATCACGTGGTTTTTTCGCCGCAAGAATTATAAACCATATTCAGTCTTTTACTTGCAGAGCAAGTCATTATTGAAGAAAAGGTGCTCCAGGACGTAAATATTTGCCCTCAGATTTAAATGTAAAGCGGATGCACGAACTTTTTTTGGATAAAAACAATACTTATACTGTAGGCTACCATTATTATTATAGGGTATTTATGAACCATTTCAATTTAGCTTTTGGATACCCAGCAACAGATACATGCTCTACATGTCAAACATATAAGTTGGCTATGAAAAACCAAAATACTACTGATGACCAAAAAAAATTAAAAACTGCTCATTTCATTCTTCATCGAAGGAAAGCCAGAAAATTTTATAGTCTTCTCAATGATATTCATCCCAATGAGATCACTATCTGTTTTGACATGATGGAGAACCTTGTACTACCGAAATTATCAATTGGAGAAGCCTACTGTTCTAGGCAGGTTTATTTTTATGTCCTTGGTGTTGTTATTCATAAAGGTGATAAGTCTCAGTCTGTTAACGATATATATTTTTTTACTTGGATGGAGTGTGAAAATAGGAAAGATTCAAACATGATCTGTTCAGCTATAGAACATCTACTTAAAAATGTTTTAAAAGATAAATGTTTCAATGCCTCATCACTTCGGTTGTTTTCTGATGCATGCTATGGCCAAAACAAAAACATAAATATGGCATGTATGCTTCTTGCTCTAAGAAAACAATATTTTAATAAGCTGCAGATTACATATACTTTTCCGGAATGAGGTCACTCATATCTGCCAGCTGATCGTGTGTTTGGTTGAGTTCAGCTAGATATTAAAAAAAGAGACCAAATTTTCGAGCCTAATGAATACATAAACATACTTAGCCGGCATGGAAAAGTCATGTTTTATGGGCAGGATTGGTCAGCACTCAACCTCAAATCAGAAGTCAAATAGTTTGTCATGAGCAAAAAAACATTTAAAATCAGTGAAGCTAAAAAACTTGTTATTAATTCAGACAAGCTAGAAGTAGTTGCATTTAGTTACCATTTTGAGCCAAAATTACACAGTATCCTTAAAAAAGGGAAGAAACGGGAAACATTTAGACCACAACGTTTGAAATTAAATAACTGTGTTAAACTTGCTATGAAATACGATGTTTTTCGTCTTCTCGGTCTTGTAGGAGTAGAAGGCAGAATACTTACTATGTATAAAACACTACTCTGTAATGCCACTGAAGATGATACTAACCTTAGTGAAGAAGATAGTTAATAATTTGATTTAAATGTTTTTTAGCTGTAAATTTTGTAAACATGTTTTAGTTAAGATACAAATGTTTTAAAAAATCTCCAGCATAACATGATTTATTTTGTTGTTTTTTTAATTTATGTTACTGAATACAAGAATACAATAGTCATTAACACCTTATATATTTTTATAGTTGCATTTGTGAATTGTTTAAAAAAAGTTGCTGAATTATATCAAAAGAGAACAAGATTTTAAGGTAGATCTTAGAATGCATAACAAAATAATACGTTTTATTAATAAATATATTTTATTAATGAAATGGATATAAAGCGTTTTGTTAATAAATAATACTTGGATATACAACGTTTTGAAACAAAACAAAAATAACCACTAAAATATACATTGATTTCATAAAGTTTGATTTCAGCATGTATTGTAGTCTTATTAATAAAGCATACGTTTAACTAAATCAATAATAACTTATTCCAAAACACTTAATTTCTTTATGCAGGAAAAAAGATCGATTTACTCAAAACCCAAAAAATGGATTTACAGCGTTTTGAAAATGAGCTCTTCATTTATATATGTGAAAACAAGCCTTCAAGATAAAGGCATCTATTACATTGGTCTAACGGAAAAAACCTTTTAAGATCGTTTTTATAAACATAAAAATTCTTTTCTTTATGAAAGTAAAGCAAATTACAATAAAAACAATCCACCGAGCTTTCTAAATTTGTGTGGAGTATTAAAAAATAGGGTTTAAATCCTGTACTTTAGTGGAAAATTGTAGTACAAAGTTAACCATTTTGTACAATTGTAGTACAAGGTTAACCAACATGATGACTAACTGTGTAAGTTATGCTTGACGGAGAAATATCATATAACTTCATCACCATTGCTTTTGTTAAACAAATGAAATGAACTTGCTTCTTAGTGCCATCATGAAAATAAGTACATAATCAATGATTTTTATGTCATCAAAGAGGACACTCCACAGTACTTTAAATATATATTTTTTGTCGTCATTTTTAAGATTTGTAACATCTGATGATCACAAGTTTGCATGAAACTTCGAGTCGAGTTTGAAATAAATTAAGTATTATAATTGTTTAGTTTTTACATAATATATATATATATATATATATATATATATATATATATATATATATATATATATATATATATATATATATATATATATATATATATATATATATATATATATATATTAAATAACTTATGACATTGCTAAAATGGTTACTAAAGCTAGAAATATGATTTCTGCAAATAAATTTTTTTTTTTTGAAAATACTCAGTTTACCTAATGTATACAGGTTATAATTTTTAAATACAATATTTTTCTTGTATTTAAAAAAATTATAACCTGTAATTTTATGAATAACTTTAAATTATAAATAAGCTTTATAAATACTGACCAAGTCAAAAAACCTATTTTAATAACTGTACAATGCAAAATAATGTTTACAAAGATGTCTGGCTATAAAAATAGCTGTTTAATAAAAGGTAGCGAAGACGTTTTTTGAAATTATACTTTTATTTTATTTGAATTTTATTTAAAAGCTAAACTAAACCATTTAGACTTTATCTACCATTTTACTTCGCAACTTATTCTTACTATTTTATAACCT